TACACAGCACGACCTGCATTGGCATATGGCAAGAGGGAGCAGGAAGGGTGCAGAAGAAAAGCGACTGAAGGGATGAGAGGAGGAGGACTCGCAAAGGACAGTGTGGGAGTGATGAGTGTTCAGAGGTGGAGATGGCACTGCTGCTAAGTGTACATCAAACTACGTGTTCATCTGATCTGGTCTAAGAAAAGGTCCTTCTAGGAGGGGCGGTCCTGGTATTGGTTTTGATGATCATCTGATTCCAGGGTGAGCTGGTTCAAGGTGCTGATCTGTTAGAAAATTAACCTTGTAAAGAAGATAAATAGCTCACTAGCAGGACTGGACCAGTGAGAAAAGCGGTGTAAGAAAAGAGAGGAAGAGGACAGGAAGGGTAAGGTTGTGCTGGCACATTCTCACTGCTTTTCTTTCAGTTTATAAAGCTTTTGGGGCTGTGAGCTGCCATGTTTGACATAGCTCCTTAACTAAGGTCTACTGTGTTCAAATTTCAACTTGACTCCTTAACTAATCAGATTGGAGGAAACATCCCCCTGCAAATCACACCTTCTGTGGATGTCCTTTGACTTTAAATTACTAGTCAGTTTTTCTTTACAAAAATAAAGCTGCTGTATGATCCCACAGCCCTGAAGTCCAGACGATAAACGACTACCTCAGTAGCGTTAAGGCCCACCTTTTGTGGGACTGGCTTATAGTTGCTGTGTCCTAAAAATACAAAGCCACCGTGCAAGATTATGGCAGGGCACTTGCTGACAAATAGCGTAGTCATGAAATACATGGATACAAAAAAACTTGAGAATATAAATACATCAAGTAGGAAGCATATCTGATATGATTCCTCCATGGCTGAGCATCCCTACTGTGATGCAGGAAAGGACTTTCCTGACTGCAGTTCATTAAACAAACATTGTAAAAGCACTTTGCACGGGGAAGGAATGATGAAACATAAAGACCAGAATGTCTTAAATTCTCTACTACGCTTACTGGGAGCTCAGGTAACAAGAAAGTCTTGCCTTATTTATCCTAGGAAGTTACCTTATACTAGACCATCTGTAGTCTGAGAGACAGAGCTGGTATTTTCAATTAAGCCCTTGAAATATTCTTAGCAAGTTAACTATTAAAAAATCTCCCACACTGTAAAGACTTGGTACCTGGAAAAAAACAAGCAATCCATTTTCAACAGATAGATTGTCACAAGATGGCAGTGCATTAATAGTCTTAAATAAAATATGCAACTGTGTATTGTTATAGCTACATAAAGGCTACAGCCAAGTTCCCTTCAAATTATGAAAAGAACAGAGAAAACTAAACTGATGAACTTCTGAATCTTGTCAATGTGGAATCTCTTACCAAAGCTGAACATAGGAGGAGGCTAATTTATGGGGGGGTGGGGGGGTGTGTTGGGAACTGTCCAACCTAGAGATTCCCAAACTAGAGATAAACATGAAGTTATATGGAAAACTCTAATGACCCTATAAGGCTCCTACAATGGGAAGCGTAGGTAAGAGGCCCTTGGAGTATTGCAAAAAAGGAATGTAGGGAGCAGCTTCATGGTTAATGATTGCAGCCATGAGCTGTGGGAGACTCCGATTAAGATAACAACTTATTTTATTTGTAAAGATGGGCAGAAAGTAACCAGTAACATCAGAAGCCCAGAAGATAAAAAAAGAAAACAAAATGGTTTTGCCACTTATGCTGGCTGACTTATTTGCAGCAAAGATGGGTCCGTTCCTGACAGCAGTATCCTTGTAAGCACTTGACCCAATATTTATGGCAACTCTCATCTTTGGCTGCAAATGTTTAAGAGCTGCTAGTGCTTAATAACTCAGTGTTGCTCTAGTGAAACACACCAAGAACTGCTATAAAGACCAATTGGCATTAGGTTTCAGAAAGGGGTTTATTAGTTGAACTAATTAAGTTGTCCAGTGGCTCCATCCAACTTTGAACACCAGGTCACAGGAAAGACAGGACTTTGTAGTTTTCATATCCCAGACAAGTTACTGGGGAAAGTTTTTCAAGTAGAGCCAATGACAGCTGCTCTGAAAGGTGGATACTAGCATCTTTAACATCTTCAGGTAAGTTTTACTACATTGATTTTCTGATATATTCCCTGGTTTGGTTGGGTTTTTTTCAGATAAAAGAGTAAGTCATTATCCAGTAATCACTGTTTCCCAATCTATTAGCAATACATGTGTTTTCTCATTTACCTCTAGCATGTTTTCCATCTGCGATGACAAAAGCTGTAAATAGCCCTCTAAGGAGAGAAGGGAATCTACATGGTTGTGGTTGCTCTGTGACAGAAGAAACAAAAAGACTTTGTGAAAGCACAGATATTTTACGTCAAAATCCAAGAGGAAATAGAGGACAGCTCTGTGAAATGCTGCTGACCCTGCCATCAAGTCTTCATCCTGATGGGAGATGTCACGTTGCTAGAACGAGCAGAATAACTCCATGGCAGGAGCATCCCTGCTTTGCCTCACAACAGCAGAACTACGCTCTCTCCTCTCTGAGGCTGCACCTACCCACCATTGTGGAAAAATCAAGAATTTTTTCCAAGCCTAGCTGCCAGGACAGCGGCAAACAAGAAACCCAGATCTGGCAAGAAACCTAGATCTGACGTTCTCAGCTCTCATGAGGTCTCAAGAAGATTGAATGCTCTTTTCATCATAGCTCTCGTAGAGAGCTCTCAGAGAGAACAAAACCCAAAGTGCACCCCTTTCAGTTTAACATCAATAAGATTATTTCTCTGCCTTCTGGTTACAATATGCATGTTAAGGTCTGAACAATCCAGTTTCCCAAATGTAATTCTACATCTGAGTATTAACCTTTACACGAATGGTGAAAGCAGTATAATTTAGTATCCACATCTCAATTGTTTGTAGACCAAAAATATCCTTGCCCACAAACACAACAGCTTCATGATGAAGAAAATAAAACGAAATTGAAAAATGTTTAGTTGCAAGTGATTTCTGTAAATTTTAGAACATTTCAACTACAAAAAATATACTGGGGGGGCAGGGGGGCAATTTCTGAGAAGGTGTACAAGGGCATCATTCACAATGTATCATCTGAAGTCACTGCTCCTTTCCTGCCCTTGCAAAGGACGCTCCCAACTGAAAAGAGGAAATCAAATATTCCTTTCAAAACCATTCACTCCGTTTCTTTCACTACTCTCTATCTCAGTGATAGACCTATATCCTCCCTCACTTCCTATTCACAGTTTTCCCTTCTTCCATTTTTTTCTTTATTTACTTGATTTATGTCTTCCTCCTCCTCTCGCAGTTCCAGCTGATCACCTCCTTGGTGTGGAGAGCAGTCATCCAAAGCTTCCTGACGTGCTTTCAGGTCAACATCCTGAAAACACAAATAAAACAGTTCCATTAAGCAATATGCTTTCAAATGCACCTTTTTTCCCCCCTACAGCTATAGCATTTCAAATAAAATATACACTGAACACTTTGTTCACGTGGATGAACTGACTCTGTGTAGACTTTGGGGGCAAAGCGAGACCAACATCAGTTCAGGAGTGCGGACATCGCCTCCTCTTACGGTGCCCGGGCACTGAACCCATCTGCGGTAGAAATGGACATTCATAAATACTGGAAACGAATTCTTCTACAACACACACAAGATGTTGTGATTGTTGGGTTTGGGGTTTTTTTTGAAAGTTTGGGATTTCAGTGTCTTTTGGATGTCATTTTACAACAATGTATCCAAGTCAGATATATACTCAGTGATGGAGTCTTAAAATGGGCAATTATACCTGACCAGTGAGCAAAATCCCTCATTTTTTCTTTCAGGAAAACAATCTCATTAACACATATTGTAATAACAGCTGTTTCCCCATCACTTCCATTTAGTTATTACTCAGTTCCCATTTATCCAAATGATGGGGGTTTTTTTTAATCTCCAGAAATGAAATAGTTCTGATGTAGTGGTCCCAGAAGCATTTTTCAAGTTATCTTTTATCTACAGTCATATCAGCAGACTTTTTTTATTTTTATTATAAGGCTGGTGTATTGCTAGGGTAAGAAGGAATTACTGATAAGGACTTTGCATATTTATATTTTTAAAAACTTTGATATTTCAGTTTTTATAGGGCAAGTCTGAGTTACTAAAATGTGAAACTCGGTGGAATGGCAGCCAGAAAACCAAGTGGCCACACTGCATTAGTTCCATATATCCCCAGCCAAATGCTACGGCAGGAGCAGAAAAGACAGCAGCAAACCTAACGAGTTAGTGTTCTGTTCTAAAAATCACAACAAATTTACTTTAAAGGTTTTATATGACAGCATAAACTATATAAAAACTTCAGTTGTAATATCATCAAAATGTGTTAAGAGATTTTTTGTGTTATTGCTTCATACAAAAAACACATTAAAAATTAAATGTAAGAAGGTTTAAAAATAGGACTCCAGAGTAAAATTAAATATATTTTGAAAATAAAGTAATATTAATTTCATTTGTATTAATCTATTAAAATTTCTTTTTAAATTATGAAAATTAATTTTATTTTTAACTTATTTTGTTTGTTGGCTTTCCATTTTTCTGTATTTTCTTTTTGAGGATTGGAAGGAAGCTTTCATTTTATAAACAGCCATTTCTAACAACAAATAGATATGCAGGGCACTCATCTGTCACTCTGATGTGA